GTCGCTGGGAGATTAGCCAAGGAGGTGGGGGGGGGAAAGGAAGCTGGAAAGTGGCTGAATCAGCTGAGGAGTTGGGGGAGGGAAGCAGCAGCATCTGTGCTGCCACCTTTACAAACTGGAACGAACTGGGATGAACTGATTCATGCCCATCTCTATTGTTGACATAGCGAAAAGTGTTCATTTGGGTTATGTTGCCTTTTCTAACATAATACTTTTCAGATGGAGTTCAAATTCTATAATCTGTTCGATAGCTTGGATTTGCAATCCAACACATCTGGAAAGTGGAAGACAATGGAAGACAGAAGAAAGTGGAAGACAGTCCATAGAGCATGGCACCTAATAATCTGTGCAGCTAAATTGTGCAATCAGCTGTTAACCACCATCACCACCAACTTTGAACTGCAGAACTGGAAGGGACCCTATGGATAATTGAACCCAGCTCCTTTCAAGGAAACACAGTGAGGAATTGAACTTCTTTCCATTCTGCCTACACCCAACTAGCTCTTAGAACCATTGCCAACATATTTGTCTTTAGGTACCACGAGTCTTTTGGGGTTTTTCTAGATGGACTGCTCCTTGCATCACTAGGGCTGGGAAGTACAGTAGTTATTTACAAAGAACTACAGTAATTACTTATAACAGTTAATAACATATTATAATAATTGAGACACAGTCAGGTTAAAGCAAAGCAAAAATCAAAGTGTGCAGCTTATATACTGCCCCATAGTGCTTAAAGCACTCTCTGGGCAGTTTGCAGTTTAATTACACAGGCGACACATTGCCCCCATGTCCCAGCAAGCTGCATACTCAATTCACCAACCTCAGAAAAATGGAAGGCGAAGTTAACCTGAAGCCAGCAACCTGAGCCCAGAATCGAACTCGGGTTATGAGTAGAGTTCTTACTGCAGTATTGCAGTTTAACCACTTTGCAACAAAGCTCCTCCTTAACAAGGAATTACTTCACTTTCTTTTGTAGTACACCTCTTTCAATGGTTAAAGGTGTGTGGCCTCATTGAACGGGTTAGGAGAATATCACTTAGTTCAAGCGCTGACTTACAGTATGTTGCTTCTCATGCTGCCACCTCACGCTATGTTGGGGGGTGTAAAGGTCATAACTGAGACCAATCTTACAGCAGGCTGGGTGATGTAGCCACTTCAGGAAGCAAATGATGTACGTCATAGAAGAGCAGCAAAAAGCTATTTATTTAATAAATTACGAGTCTTCTACTGCCTCCCAGGAAGGGAAGGAAGACTCTGTGAGATATTTTGCTTCAGGTGCCAAAATGTCATTGGGAATTATGCACCCCTGACCTGCCGAAAAGGCAGTGATCTGCTGTTCTACCTCAGACAGCAAAATGGCTTAGATCAGCATAGTGGACAGTGCAGTTCTTCCCATGGGCCAGAATTTGCAACATTCAGATTTTTATTTAAAGTCAGACTAATTAACTTTAATAACTTTTGAAGAAAAAGCCAGGAGTTACTTTTTATAAACTCAACTATTGCAACAACAAACTGCTTTGGTTGGCATCGGATTATAATTCTACCTAACTACTTCTTCTTCTTTTTTAAGCTAACATTTCAAGGCCTGAGTACTACCAATCCAAAAACAGGGTGTGGTTAACTCAGTCTTTCTCGCCTTTACAGATTTCTCAGTGTAGAAAATAAAAATAAGAATACAAATTAAATAATTTAAAAATATTAAAGATGCAATAGAAAAACACAGGGGGATTACAGATGGACACCGAAAATGTCTACAAACAACCTCCCTCCACTAAAATTCTGAGAATGAGGGCAGACTATTGTACAAAGAAAACCTAATACAGAAGCTTTTAGAATTAAACATACATACAAGAAAGCTGGATATTGTTTGAGCGGGAGACACGTTCAGCATCCATTGGCCTAAGCACTAATTTGGGGAAATGCTTTCAATGAAACTTTTAAAGAAGTCGAATAAATTGTTGAGGAAAAAGTGGGTGAAGTTCATGGGGTACATTGGGTCAGTCAAAGGTGGATTACATCAGTCCTCTTTAATTTCCGCAGCAGTAGTATTGAATGTTTTCCAAATTGTTTATGGACACGTCCTCTCAGCATAACCTCTATTTCTCAACAGTCTCAGGGAGGGTGGGGAAAATGTCTTCCTATGTCAGAAGACACAAGATTATTTTCTGTCTGAAATACTAGCTAGCTGTGAAAACACACATGTGGAGTCATTTCCCCCTTTTCTTCCAGACTTAATCCTTAATGCCACATGTGGAGTCATCTCCCCCATTTTCTTCCAGACTTAATCCTTAATGCCACGATTAAGGTTGCCAATTCAACACACGTGGCACTCATATTAGCAACCTATGAAGTAACCAACACGTTACCCATGCTAATAAACAACTCATCTAAGTATCAGAATGGTTCTAGTTTGAAGCAACAGGACCAACATATTCCCGAACTGGAACTATGCCCAGGCTGAATGGTACCACTGGTGGTCCATTTTCTCACATTTCCAAAGTACTGATAACTGCAAAACATGCCGTTCCAGAAGTTTGCATTTGATGTACCTTGAACCTGAAAGAACAGAACCCAGGAGTACTGACAGATTGTTTGACCTGTGACTCACATTTTCCCAAGAAAATTTGGATTTTTTCTCTCATTCTACATGCTCAGATGGATTCACTGTATCCACCCACATACCCACAAGCTTTCACATGAGGGAAAAATATTATACTTCTCAGTTTCTGATAACACTGCTCTGTGAAGTTTTCACTCAATTACTATAAACAATGTTAATTTTGAAAATATTTTGTACATACTTGAAAACATCCTTCAAATTTAAAAACTTCATTTAGTCCAAAGTTGAGACTCATTGATTTAATTCAGGGCTGTGTTCAACTCAATCTTATGTGTTTATATTTTTATTGGTTACTATGTTCATTGTTACAGCTGTTAATACTCAAAATCTCTTTACATTTAAGGCATAATTAACCTGTTTTTAGTACTCCTGAATATGCACTCACCAGTTAGCTGGCCCAAGGTATTTTGATACCCGAGGTGAAAGAAAAAATTGAAATATTGAACTCCCTCTACCCACTTCATGGTCAGAAACCAACTAGATTAGCAATTCAATCTGACTTCAACACTGTTGTTGCTGTTATGTGTCATCAAGTCCCCTCAACTTAAATGAGTGACCTCCAAAAATCTATGAAATCTATTATGAGATTTCAGCACTAGCAATGGGAAAGTGTCTTCAGGCTTCTATAGTGAGCAAGACAAGTTTTGTGTGGCAAAGGAAACAGCTGTAGAGTTCAAGAGGAACAGCTAGGAGATTGTCGCCACTGTCCCCAGAAACAGCTGCTTGGGGCGTTTACTTCGCTCTGCCCAAGAGTCAAACCAGTTCAGAACATTAAAAAAAAGTCTGCTGTACTAGACCCAGCTCCAAATGATCAAGAATTTTTCATAAAAACTCCTGCAACCATCGATTGCTAGATGAAAGTGAGCCATAATTCACCAACTATACCATAGAGACACCTATTTGGAAACACTTAACAATTCAACCATATCTAGTCTACAATAATTGTTCCTGCGTAAGTCTCGATATTTAAAAAAACTGAAGAACCAACATACTATACAGTATTCTGTATTGCCTACACCCAGCCCTAGCCCCTTTACAAGAACTGCAACAACCACCAAGCATCAAAGTGGACAAGTGTGGGCTAAACATAGGTAAGTGGAACATTAGTGAGCCACATTTTGAGGTCGACCTGGATGAGTCCAATTCCATTTTTAATTTGCAATTTTGAGGTCGACCTGGATGAGTCCAATCCCATTTTTAATTTGCAGTTTAAATAAATAAATAAATAAATAAATAAATAAATAAATAAATAAATAAATAAATAAATAGAAGTTCACTTACCCCAAAGACAAGCATGGAGAAAAAAGGCTATTGCTATATTTCTGAACCCTCTCCCTCGTGACTGTCCCCCAAAGGGGAAGGTCCAGGAGGCCATGGGTTCCAGATACTCAACTAGATGGGAGCAGATTCTTTCTTGCAGGGAGTGCTCTGGTTTGGAGACTTGAGCTGTCACTTGTCCTGATGGGACTCTCATATAGTTCATTGACATGGGCAAAGGTTGGGAGTGGAAATGCTGGGAAGGGGCTGGTGGTAAACAGGAGGGAGGAGTCTCATCAAGCTGAACTTGGCTATCTGCCACCACTGCTGTTTTTCCAGGTTTGTGACATCGTGATGCAACTTTCAGTTCCCCTGGCTAATTTCTTATCAAGTTTTGAGGGGTCGTTTTCATTTCACTGCTGATGAAACTTTCGGCCACATTTGGGGCTTCATGGGACACATGGCTCAGCTTAAGAATTAGTACGCAAAGAGGGGCATGAATCTTGCAGCATTTGGCTTTCAGAAGGAAACCAAGACTATAACCCAGAAAATCCCTTCTTTAAAAATATGTTCTTCATTTGGAATAGATATGGAAAAATATTTATCCCACCAGTCTCCCCATTTCATCTAGTGGCAGAGCTGGAGAAATTCCCAGGAAATCTAAAAGGATGGAATGAGAATTTATTAATAAACAAGTTATTAGAGTAAATGAATGGTTAGAAAAGGTGAATAGGAACAAATAAAAGAAGTGATGGGTGTGGATAAAATGTTTTGGTATAATATTATCTAGTTAGAGCTGTGGACAAAGAATTGGATAAAAAGGGAATTTAGGAAATATGTAGAAATTATATTGCAAAAGGAAACTGAAGATGAAAACAATGTAGTGAAAAGTATGGTAAGTAAAATTTTATAATACTGTATATTATTGGAAGCAGAAGATCAGGAGGACTCATACAAATCATTATGGAAATTCAATATGGGAGTAGAAATAAGTACTAGAGCTTGGGGAAAAAAAATGGAATTTTAAAATCTAAGTCAGTAAAAAGCAATTTTAATATGTTAGCTCAGAGATGGTACTTAACTCCAGTGAAATTAAATCAAATAGATAATTAATTACTCCAAGATGCACTTAGGCAGGTTGCCAGAAAGTAGGTACTTATTTTTATTAATGGTGGGAAGTGAGAATATACTGAAAGTGTGACAATTGGTTTTTAAGGAAATAAATAATTAAAATCATATTTATCACCATCATCTTAGAACTAGAGCTGGAAAGGACCCTGTGGATGAGTACAGCCCCTGTCAAGGAGTCACAGGGTAGAATTGAACTCACAAACCCTGGTTCTGCATTATCACCGTCATCTTAGAACTACAGAGCTGGAAAGGACCCTGTGGATGAGTACAGCCCCTGTCAAGGAGTCACAGGGTAGAATTGAACTCACAAACCCTGGTTCTGCAGCCACATACCTAAACACCACTGAGCTATCCAGCAAGCAAGCCGAACTTCGCTGTATGTCCTAAAATGGCGCTTTTATTGGTATTTGAATAACTGGACAACTAAAGAATCAATTTGTAATGTGTTAATGGTGCCAAGGGTGATTCTTGCTAGGAACTGGAAAACAGCTTATAATTCTAATCTGTTAATGGTGCCAAGGGTGATTATTGCTAGGAACTGGAAAACAGTTTATAATTTCCAGTTAAATGACTGATACAGGGAAGTTTGGGATGTGGCTATCAATGATAAGGTTACAAGTAATGTAAAAGTTAAGGGATGGTAACAGGAAGAGAAGAATTTATAGATGTATGGAGAAAAATTATCCTTAATGTGCAGTGTCAGAGTTTTGCTCCTGAGTATATGAAGGAATAACACAAGTGCCTCTTAGCATGTTGAGAGTATTGTGCCATAGTAACAAACAGTCACACATCTCGAGGACTGCAGCAGGATTGTAAATTGAAAGTAACACGGAACTCAAGCATCTCAACCCGCTCACTCCCCATTACTCTCTGAGCTCTGTGCCGTGACGTAGCAGGGAGCAGAACAGCCCATGACAGTCGTTGTTTGGCTAGGAGCGCCACATGTTAGGGCTGCAATTGAGCAGCAGAACTTGTGTTGTGCCTCCACTAGACTTCAGCTCCAGTTCTGTAGGTAAAGATGGGAAAGACCTTTGTGAAAAGCCCTGGAGCATTTCCACCAATCATTACAGATGACATTGAGCTAAATGGATTCCATATGGCAACACTCAAGGGCTTGAACGTTTATGGCCCTCAGGATCTTGAAGGATTGCAACTGCCATTGGCCCAAGCCATATGGCTAGAGGACAGTATGTTTGGTGTTGCTGGCTAGCAATTTCTGGGGGATGGGGGCATATGTTCCTCATGCCTGAGATACACCCATGAACTGACTCAGCAGAATGCAGCAACATTAAATTTCTCAGTTCCTCAAGTAACTGTCACTCAGCAACTGAAAAGTGTGTGGTGCGTGAGATACTGTACTTTGTTTTTAAAAACAAGTTCAAGCTTTCGCTTTTCCTCCTCAAAACTTAGATGCCTAAGGATATATCTGTTAGGTGGAATGAAAGACCTGCGCTCTGATCTCTGAAGTAATTCGGATGTCAATGGCTAGCAAGTCCTTGGGTATTTACATGCCACCTGTTTACTCTCTTGGATGGCCATTGAGTATTTACAGACCGTTGGACTTGGTCCTGCTTGAACTGGACCCACTGAAATCAAAGGGATCTAAATTAACCACGTGTAACTTTTGTTCCATTGATTTCAGAGGCTGCATTCTAAACAGGACTTTGTCTGGTGCCAACTCTCTGTTATAACTGAATGGCCTGCATATTCCTGAAAAGACTAGGTTGACGGAAGCATTGTCTTCCATTTCATTTTCTTTTACTAGAATCTTCCTTTACTAAATATTTGAAGGGCAACCAAAACAAGGAATAATGAAAACCACTTCTTGTGGAACAAATTGCCTACATGGTAGTATGTAATATCACTGTTTGATATTTTAGTTAAGATTGAACAAATTATCTGTGCATGGACACATAAGGAAAGGATAAAATAAGGTATTACCTTACTTGCCTTATTTCTTCTCTTTTGGAACCAACACACACACGCACACACACACACACACACACACACACACACACACACACACACACACACACACACACACACACACACACACACACACA